GCAATACATACTTTCTTTTTGATAAAACATATAAAATAGTTAATAGTACCAACAATGACAGCGCAGCCGCCGACAGTTGAAACAGTTAACTGCCATCAGTAGGTATAACAGTCAACTGCCACCGGCAGTTGAAACAATAAAACATTTACAAATCATATTTTTACCAAACACATCTAAACGTACCTGATGTAAAAACAAGCACACAATAATTCATCAGTGTGTGTGCGCTGCAACTGCATACAACGGTCTGGTCATGGCAAAAAGAAAAACCCAAACATTACTAAAAGGACTGAAAAGCTAGCTTCCATTAGTGTGAATCTCGGCTATAAAGTTATTAATTTAATGCAAACACAGCTAACCTTTTTCAAAATATGCTCTAACAACACTTAAATATCTGTAACAAGTCCTATTGATATATTAATTAAAGGTTAAAATGACTTTAAGTGCAGAGCGGCTTCACAGTACACCTACCTCCACCAGCTTTCATTACTGCTTTGGTGGGAGGGGCCGTGAATGCGCCTGAAGGACCCGTTGCATGCAGTTGCGCCTAACCACCAGTAGGCGGCTCCAAAAACACAAACAATCACTGCACATCACTTTTGGTGAAATTCACATTTTCATCTCTGTTACACATGTACTAATGCGCACAGAGGCAACATGATCTTTGCTATCTGTTTCTCGTTCATGCCGTTTTGCGCTGTATAACATACGAAAGATCAGACCATACCTAACACAACATGCCACCCAGCTCCTGGTGCAATCTACTGTCATCTCTGTAGAAATGTAGCCAGTGAAGCTGGAGGAGAAGCGGGGTGGTGTGGGTGTGTTTGGAGGACTTGGTCAGAAGCCGAGCACAGGCATTCTGAACCACCTGTAGATGGTTCAGGGAGGTTCTGCTGAGACACGTGAAAAGAGAGTTACAGTAATCTAAGCGTGAGGAGATGAAGGTGTGGAGAACTGTCTCAAGTTCAGACCAAGACAGAATGGGACTCAGCTTAGCAATGTTCCTGAGATGGAAGAAGGAAGAGCGAACAAGAGAATCCAGGGTGAGAGCTAGGTCAAAGGTCACGCCAAGATTCCTGACAGAAGGTTTGGTGTGGGAAGCAAGCTGACCAAGAGAGTCTCTGACTTTGGGAACCAGCTTGTCTGGTCACGGATGAGGATGTCAGTCTTATCTTCATTCAGCTGAAGAAAGCTCCCAGCCATCCAGGTTTTGATAAGAGTCTAAGCAGGTGTGTAACAGCTTTAGCTTAGACATCTCATGGGGCTTAAAGAAGATGTACAGTTGGATGTCATCTGCATAAAGATGGTAGGAGATTCCTTTGAAGGAGCTGAGGATGTGCCGAAGAGGAAGCAGATAGAGGAGGAAGAGCAGAGGCCCCAGCACAGAACCTTGTGGGACACCATGGGTAAGAGAGGTGGTGGAGGACCTAAACTTGGAGACGGCCACAGAAAAGGAGCGCTCAGAGAGATAAGAGGAGAACCACTCCAGAGCAGATCCTGATAGGCCTACCCAGTCTCTCAGCCTCTCCAGTAGCAGGTGATGTTCAACAGTGTTAAAGGCTGCAGTCAGGTCCAGCAGGACCAGAACAGAACAGTCCCCTGCATCACTGTGAGTCAGAAGGTCATTAGAGACCCTAAGAAGAGCTGTTTCAGTAGAATGAGCTCTACGAAAACCTGACTGGAAGCTATCATAGATGTTATGTTCATCAAGAGCAGCTGTGATTTGTTTAGCCACAACCTTTTCCAAGATCTTGGAGATGAACGGAAGTTTAGAGATGGGTCTGAAGCTGCTATGGAGAGAGGCGTCAAGACTCGGTTTTTTAAGAAGCGGGTGGATTACAGCATTCTTAAAGTAAGCAGGGACCTGACCAGAGACCAGAGAAGCATTAATTATAGAGAGCACGCTGGGACCGACGGACTGAAAAGCACTTTTAAACAAAGATGAGGGTAAGATGTGGAGGGGGCATGCAGAGGTCTTCAATGAGTTAACTAGTTTGGTTAACTCAGGCAAAGAAACAGGAGCAATGCTATCTAGGCAGGGTTCCCACTCTTTTCTTGAAATTATTTTCCAGGACTTTTCCAGGACATTTTCAAGACTTTTTCAGTGTACAAGTCAAGTTATCATAACTATGGTTTGCCGATATCCCGATATATTTAGAAACATATATGATATTGTACCTACCTATACCGTTATTTTGACAATATAGTTGTGGAAAGATTTTTGTCTTTCACAATCCCACCTGCTTTCCTCTACTTACAATGCAACACAACTAAAACAGAAGTTATTCTCTACTTTAGTTCATACCAGAGATGTGACATTGTGGCATCATCAAGTCATCTCCATGTCATGTTTTTGTTCTGCTCAGCAACTGAACCAGGTTAATTCACTGTGCTGATTGAAATCGTCATCATCTTCCTCCGCTTATCCGGGTCCGGGTCGCGGGGGTAGCATCCCAACTAGGGAGCTCCAGACCGTCCTCTCCCCGGACACCTCCAACAGCTCCTCCGGCAGGACCCCAAGGCGTTCCCGGACCAGATTGGAGACGTAACCTCTCCAACGTGTCCTGGGTCGACCCGGGGGCCTCCTGCCGGCAGGACATGCCCGAAACTCCTCCCCAGGGAGGCGTCCAAGAGGCATCCTGACCAGATGCCCAAACCACCTCAACTGACTCCTTTCGATCCGGAGGCGCAGCAGTTCTACTCCGAGTCCCTCCCGAATGTACGAGCTCCTCACCCTATCTCTAAGGCTGAGCCCGGCCACTCTACGGAGGAAACTCATTTCGGCCAATTGTATCCGCAATCTCGTTCTTTCGTTTATTACCCAAAGCTCATGACCATAGGTGAGGATTGGGACGTAGATTGACCGGTAAATCGAGAGCCTGGCTTTCTGGCTCAGCTCCCTCTTCACCACGACAGAGCGGCTCAACGTCCGCATCACTGCAGATGCTGAACCAATCCGCCTGTCAATCTCCCGATCCCTCCTACCCTCACTTGTGAACAAAACCCCAAGATACTTAAACTCCTCCACTTGAGGTAGGACATCTCTCCCGACCTGGAGTTGGCAAGCCACCCTTTTCCGGTTGAGAACCATGGTCTCAGATTTGGAGGTGCTGATCCTCATCCCAGCCGCTTCACACTCGGCCGCGAACCTACCCAGCAAGAGCTGAAGGTCAGAGCTGGATGAAGCTAGGAGGACCACATCATCCACAAAAAGCAAAGACAAGATTCTCCTGCCACCAAACTCGACACACTCCACACCATGGCTGCGCCTAGAAATTCTGTCCATAAAGGTAATGAACAGAACCGGTGACAAAGGGCAGCCCTGGTGGAGTCCAACCCTCACCGGGAACAGGTCCAACTTACTACCAGCTATGTGGACCTAACTTACGCTCCTCTGGTAAAGGGACTGAATGGTCCTTAACAGTAAGCCACCCACCCCATACTCCTGGAGCGTCCCCCACAGAGAGCCCCTGGGGACACGGTCATAAGCCTTCTCCAAATCCACAAAACATATGTGGATTGGTTGGGCAAACTCCCATGCCCCCTCCAACACCCTTGCAAGGGTATAGAGCTGGTCCACAGTTCCACAGCCAGGACGAAAACCACACTGCTCCTCCTCAATCTAAGATTCAACTATCGATCGGACCCTCCTCTCCAGTACCTTGGAGTAGACTTTTCCAGGGAGGCTTAGGAGTGTGATCCCCCTATAGTTGGAACACACCCTCAGGTCACCCTTCTAAAAGATGGGGACCACCACCCCAGTCTGCCACTCCACAGGAACTGCCCCTGATTACCACGCAATGTTGCAGAGACTTGTCAACCACGACACCCCTACAACATCCATAGCCTTGAGATACCCAGGACGAATCTCATCCACCCCTGGGGCTCTGCCGCTGTGTAGTTGTTTGACTACCTCAGCAACTTCTGCCCCTGAGATTGGACAGTCCATCTCCAGGTCTCCTGGCTCTGTTTTCTCCTCGGAATGCGCGTAGGAGGGATTGAGGAGCTCCTCTAAGTATTCCTTCCACCGTCCGACTATAGCCCCAGTTGACGTCAGCAGCTCCCAATGCTCACTGTAAACAGTGTGAGCGAGTTGCTGCCTTCCTCTCCTGAGGCGTCGGACAGTTTGCCAGAACCTCTTTGGAGCCGATCGATAGTCTTTCTCCATGGCCTCACCAAACTCCTCCCACGCCCGAGATTTTGCCTTGGCAACTGCCACTGCTGCACCCCGCTTGGATATCCGGAACCTGTCTGCTGTCTCCGGAGACCCACAGACCAGCCACGCCTTGTAGACCTCCTTCTTCAGCCTAACAGCTCCCCGAACCTCTGGTGTCCACCAGCGGGTACGGGGGTTGCCACCATGACTGGCACCGGCCACCTTGCGACCACAGCTAACAGCAGCCGCCTCAACAATCGCAGAGTGGAACAAGGCCCACTCGGAGTCAATGTCCCCCACTGCTCTCAGGACGTGGTCAAAGCTCTGCCGGAGGTGGGAGTTGAAGACCGTCTTGACAGGTTCTTCTGCCAGGCGTTCCCAGCAGACACTCACTATGCGTATGGGTCTGCCAGGTCTATGTAGCATCTTCCCCTGCCATCTGATCAAACTCACCACCAGGTGGTGATCAGTTGACAGCTCCGCTCGTCTCTTCACTCGGGTGTCCAAAACATACGGCCGTAGGTCAGATGATAAGACTACAAAGTCTATCATCGACCTGCGACCTAGGCTGCCCTGGTACCAAGTGTACCGATGGGCATCCTTATGTTCGAACATGGTGTTCGTTATGGCCAAACTGCGGCTTGCACAGAAGTCCAATAATGAAACACCACTCGAGTTCAGATCAGGCGGGCCGTTCCTTCCAATCACACCCCTCCAGGTCATGCTGTCATTGCCCACGTGAGCATTGAAGTCCCCCAGTAGGACAATGGAGTTCCCTGATGGAGCACTATCTAGCACTCATCTCAGGGACTCCAAAAAGGGTGGGTACTCTGTACTGATATTTAGCCCATAAGCGCAAACAACAGTCAGGACCCGTTCCCCGACCCGAAGGCGCAGGGAAGCTACCCTCTCGTCCCCCGGAGTAAACCCCAACACACAGGCAGAGAGTCTTGGGGCTAGCAAAAAGCCAGTTTTGAAAAGTTTTGAATTTGCACCGTCTTCCTGACATCACACTCTCCTGCCTATAAAGGACACAAAGACATATTTTGAAAGATTGTTACTGTTTATATTGATTGTTTATTCAATAAATTAGGCCTGCTTTTCAAACCTTAGCTCTTTCATATCTTTCATATTCTATGTATTATACTTACTGTACACACCACATTACACTTTACTGCTTATTTCACATAGTTGGATGTTAAACTGCATTTTGTTGTTCCAGTATTGGTCATTTTAGGTTAGTCCAGTCATCCAGAAACAAGATTCAGGGTAGATGACTAGGCTAATATCTCCCGCTAACATCACAGACATATTGGACCTGAGAAAAAAAAAATTTTCTACCTCAGAGATAAGTACTTGTAGTTGTTTGCAACTTTTTTAGTCTGGACTGTACGTAGCATTACTATGATAAATATATAGTTACCACTTAAAATCATTCTAGTTATTAATTTAGCCGTGTTGAATTCAATTTAATTACGTTAACAACTTTGTTCAAACGACCATGCCAGTCTTCAGTTCTCACTGCCACCTGGCTGCGGTCTGTGTAGCTAGCTAAAAACAGTATGAACAGCTGAGGCTCTGTCCTCTGAGCACATACTTAGTATTTTTGATAGAATCAAATTCATGACATTTTTCTCATTCACATATTTTTGTTTCTGCTGTCGGACGATAGAACTAGTATGAATTACTGAGTGGAGCGCGGGTCCGGTAGACTACCTGCTATCCGTTGCTATCCTGAAGCTCTCGTCAGGTTCGCTCGTCTCAATGCAGAGTGAAAAAAACAAAAGCTCTCCGCTGCTCCTTTGTCACTCAAAAGAGAGAAGGAGAAAAACCTCTCACTCTATAAACTGCAATAAAGCAATACTCGTGAACCGAGTCGCTACTTTTGGCCCTTCTTTGGGGAAATAAATCTAGGGGTGAAAAATCTGTAAATCTAGCAAAAAAGACAGTTAGAAAAACAGAAGTGGAACTGGAACTGAAGGGGAATATGCAATCTGATTGGTTGGAAGCATCATGTGGGGCACTGTGCCAGCTAGATGCAGAAATGAAAGGAGAAGCGCTGCAGCCCAATGTTGCCCAATAATCTGTTTGTTTATCCACAAGGAGGGAAAATTATTTTCCAGGACAACTCAAAAATTTCCAGGACATTTTGCAATTCCCCCCATTTTCCATGTGTTTTCCATGACTGGAAAATTGGACTATCATTTTCCAGGTTTTCCAGGACGCGTGGGAACCCTGCTAGGATGATGGGCCTGGTTGGAGTCGGGAGAGGCAGCGATAAGCCTGAAGGAGAGATGCTAGATCTAACCTTATTGACTTTGTCCACAAAGAAAGACAGAAAGTTCTCACAGTCTGCAACAGAGTGGATGGAGGTTGTAGGAGAGGCAGGAGAGACGATGCTGCTGATGGTGTTAAACAGCACCTTGGGGTTCCCTTTGCTCTGGGACACCAGGTTGGAGAAATAGGAAAACCTAGCGTCTCTGACTGCAGAGTTAAAGGATGTCAGAAGATCCTTTAGGTGCAGCAGATGGACGTGGAGATGGGTTTTCTTCCACAAACGCTCAATTTTTCTGCATTGGCGCTTCAGGCTGCGAAGGCTGTCATTAAACCAGGGAGTAGGGTTCACTGCAGGAACTGATCTGGTTCTGACAGGACAGATGTTGTCCAGAATGGAGAGGCAGTGCTCGTTAAACTGAGAAGTTAAGGAATCTGGGTCGTTCTCAGAAGAACAGGGTGGATCAAAAGCAGCAGAAAAATTGCTAGCTGTGCTCTCATTAAGAAAACAAGAACTAACCATATGGCGAGCAGGAGGTGGGGACGCAGAAACTGACAAGTTAAAGAAAATGCAATTGTGATCTGAAATTAAAATGTCCTCAGGACAAACAGTGTCAGCATTTAGACTCAGGGTAAAAACAATGTCTAGAGTGTGCCCCCTGGTGTGTGTGGGGCCAGAAACATGCTGGGTAAAGCCAAAGGTGTCCATAAGGCTGGAGAAATTCATGGCAAACTGATCGGAGGGATCATCAACGTGGATGTTAAAATCACCAACAATCACCAGTCTGGACAGCTTCACAGTGGAGGATAGAAAGTCACTAAACTCCTGAAGGAAAGAACTGTTTGGACCAGGTGGATGATAGACCACAGCACAGTAGAACAGGTCCTTACGCCCGACTTTAATCTGCTGCAGTTCAAAGGAAGCAAAGCGACCAGAGGCTGTAGAGCTACATGGAAGATGGTCTCTGAAAACAACAGCTAGGCCTCCACCAGGACCAGAACCCCGGGGCTGGCTAAGAAAAGAATAACCACTCGGGCAAAGTTCAATCAGAGCAGAATAATCAGATGTTTGCTGCCAAACTTCAGTCAGAAACAGAAAATCCAGGTTTTTAGACATAATTAGATAATTGAGCAAGAAGGACTTATTATTAACAGAGCGGGAATTTAATAGAGCCATACTGAGTGAGGAGGAGGAATCAGAAACTACAGAAACAGCTGGAGTTAGTGGACGTAAATTAGCAGGGTTAGATCCACGGTGTTTATAAAAACCACTTATGGAGGGAACAGGAGGAGAAACCACTGAAGAATGAGGATAAACCAACCTTAAAAAACTTGGACGGATGAACCACGTCGCAACGCGGCCTGGCGGGAAGGCGGAAGTGGCGCTCAGGTCACCAAACAAAGGACAAGAAGCTAGAAGATCGCGCCGATGTTTACCAGATAAACCACGCTTTAAGAGAAGTCTTATTCTCACCTGGATTCCTGCTCGTTTACCTCTTTTCCTCCGACGTTTTCCCGGGACCGGACAAACATCGCTAGAGGTGCGCAGCTCTGGATCGTCGATTGGTTCCGGGCCGGTATGCCGCTCAGGTAAACTAACAGGATGGTAAATCCTCGGTGCGTCTTGGGCGATTGTGAACGAACGGAGGACAAAAGAGTCTGGCGATCATAGGAAATGGTAGCGGGGACACTACTGAAGAAGATCGCAGACAGGAGCAGGGTGGAAAAGAGGAGGTTAGTGGAGAAAAGTTTGAAAAAGTGGCCGGTGACCGCGGCTAAGCCAAGCACAGGCGCCATCTTGCCGACCGGAAGCCACTGTACTGTGAGACCTCTTGAAATGGTCCAGAACGCAGCGGCGCGTCTGGTCTTCAATCAGCCAAAAAGAGCACACGTCACCCCTCTGTTCATTGAGCTCCACTGGCTACCACTAGCAGAACGCATCAAATTCAAATTGCTAACACTAGCATACAAAGTCAGAGATGGTACGGCTCCCATCTACCTGAATCCTCTTGCAAAGGCTTACGTCCCGGCCCGGCCGCTCCGGTCATCACAGGATCGTCGGCTAGCAGTGCCTACACCACGCTCAGGACAATCCAGATTCTTCTCATGCATTGTTCCACAAATGTGGAATGACCTACCAAGCACTACCAGAACAGGAGCTTCCTTTTCAATTTTCAAGAAACTCCTGAAGACCCTGCTCTTCAGAGAGCATCTTCTAAACTAGCACCTTCCCTGCACCCGTCCCCCCTCTCTACCGTCCACTCCTTGTTCCCTACTCTCCATGATTGATGTCAAGTTGTTGTTATTGTTGTTAGCCTCAAGGGCAACATGCTGATTATCACTTGTAAGTCGCTTTTGACAAAAGCGTCTGCTAAATAAATAAACATAAACATCTTTAAAGGTCAGGTGTTCATCAATCACAACACCCAGATTTCGAACTGCCTTTGATGGAGTTTCTCCTGGTACTCACCCTTTAGCAGGTCAGGGAGGTCCGCGCTGGCCTTCAGAGACCCGTGGAGGGGTTTAAAAAATTAAATGTGGGTTTCTGGAGCGCAAATCACTGTCTGCATTTTTCTTTGAACATCTTAGGTGTGTTCTTGCTGTGTCATATTTCTAATTCCTCTGCTGCCCGCGGATAGATGGAGAAGGAAGTGACGCCACCATCAGCGTCAGCCTGAGGAAGTTTGCAGCCACAAACGACACATAGCGGGAAAACAGGTAACAAAACTGTTCTGTGTTTTAAAAAAAGAACTAAAACGTGGTAAGCCTTTTTTATTATTTCAACTTTGAAATTGTAACATTGTAAACATAACATGATGGTATTTTGACCGTTCTTTTCACACAGTTAATCTAAAATAAAGTCTTTCAGTGGATGGCTTTACATTAACAGTTGAGTAAATAGATCTACATAAGTAGAGTAACAACAGTAATAATTGTACTTGATAAACATAACTCCATATTAAATCTTCCATTTTAACCCATACTAATCAAGTTTTAACTGCATTAACCTGTAGCTACTGCTGCATGGAATCTGGCGTTAGATCAAGTGGAAGCCTGCACCGCTCTTGATAGCCAGTTTTTCCTTAAAGTCATTCTTAATGACCAAATGCACACTGGGAAATGTGATTGTCTGTGTGCACGCACTAACAACTGGGTAGCAGGTGGTGTGCTGTGGCATTCTCTCCATGCATGTGTGGTCAAAATTGACATGGATCTTAAAACGTTCTCTGTCTGAGAGTAGAAAATACCGGTGCACCTGGCCAGTTAACCACTGCATCACATCTGGAACTGACAGTGCATCTTCTGCAGAACCATCTGGGGAAACATTAAAACGAAGAAATTAACTCCTGAACAGCAAGATCTTCACATTTACTACTGTCAAATTCTGTGTTATTTTACATAAATTGAAATGAGTAACAGGAAAAGCTTCTAAATATAATATTGGTAGTTTATTGTACTTCAGATTAAATAATATACTGACCTTTGAAAACTTCAACTGAGACAGTTACATAATTATATTCCATTCCATTTTTGTATATAATGCCATTTGTATATTATTTGCTAACAATATTACATGAATATAAGTAGGAATGTAATATTTATTGACAATTTACATCAAATAATTTACTTTATTCCTCTCGTGTGTTTGAATTCAGAGTCCGATTGCTCTGCGGCAGCAGGTTTTACCACATTCCTTCTGGTGCAACAAAATCTTGTGATAACGCAGATGTGTTTTGCCACGCGTTTGGCCTGAGTTTTTAAACTAAATCCAGTCTAAAAAATGTCTGAATATTCTCTAACTTTTAGTATCGCAATTAATCGTATCCTGTCTTTTGTATTTAGATATATATTATATCGCCAGATCCTTGCCAATATACACTCCTAAAACAGTCCTTGTTGGCATAGAACCAGTGAGAAATGCGGAATTCTGTGATTGCAATTCCAAAACTCTCAGTGTTTCCCAGGCCAGCCATTGTTCATGTCTACTGTATGAAATGTAATGCTGAAGGACAAACAGTTCTCTGACTACCACAAAGTGAACTAAAAAGTAGGGATGAGCCGACTAGTATCCGGTACGAATAAAGCATTTTTGATGAATACGAGCATGAAACGGGTAAAACTCGTAAATATCTGTAATCGTGCTGAAAGAAAATCCTCATTGGGTAACTTCACGCTCTGTGATTGGCCAGTCACATTGAGCGCCCGCCCCACCCTACACACAAAACTCTGCAGCCAGGAGCTCAGTCCGTCCGGCCAGTGTTGCCAACTCAGCGACTTTGTCACTGTTCCTAACGACTTTTTGACCCCCCTCAATGGCTTTTTTTCCAAAAAGCGCCTAGCGACAAACTTAGCGACATTTCTCAGGACCCGTTGCTACTTTCTGTAGAACTTTCTTGTAGATATTCCCTACAGATTAGCAACAAAGAAACCATTTGCACTCTGAACCGTTCTTCCGGGAGTAAGGAAAGAGAACGATAATCTGCGCATGTGCACGAGGACTGACCAATCATAAACCGTTTTCGGCCGGGCTGATTCGCTGAAGACAGAGTACAGCTGCAGAGCTGTAGACTGCCGATTTACGTCTGCTGCTTTCATATTGCTGCAGGCTCACGCTTCTACTAGAGATGGCGCGGGCATCAACCTGCCATCTCTGGTTCTGCAGGCGTCAGACACTTTGGCTTTTCCTGCATTTGGCAAATAAAGTCATCGGTAGTTTCAACTACCGTCCCGTTTACACACGCAGCTCTGTGGCTCATCTGAATTTCCTTCAGAGACACAAGGATGGTTATACTATGAGACACCCGCTCCCTTTTGCTCGGTGCGCCGTTATTATCACGATGGAGAGGATACACAACAGAGACGTTGAGAAACTATGAGGTGTAAAAAAACTGTTTTTTAGGAAAATGTCTGAGAGAATGAGGAGAGCAGGAGGCCTGAGTTATATCCTACAACAGAACTGTTTGGATCACCACACCATATCTGTCTTAATGTCACTTTATTGGTAGTCTTGGAATTTATTGTACATATCAAAGCAATTTGGGCCATTTTAATCATACAAATTAATAACTGTAACATATAACATAGTTTTTATTTTCCTCCCTTTTAGTCCTATTATATATATATATATATATATATATATATATATATATATATGTATATATATATATATATATATATATATATATATATGTATATATTAGATGCTATGGAGGAAATGAACGCTGATATGGCGTGAAGACGTCATCAATATGTAAATTAGCACGTGACGTCATCTGGCGACATCTAGTGACTTTTGGGGGGAACTTCAGCTACTTTCAGTCAAAAACAGTTGGCAACACTGCGTCCGGCCCTTCCACACACACACACAGACAGTAACAGATCTCTCTGTGCTTGCTTCACTGTTGCTCACGTTTCTTCAGTTTTCCCTAGGTTTTCTTCAGCTCGCCTCTTTTTCGGTTGATTATTTAAAGTTACTTTTTTTTGTAACTTACATGGTGCATTTGACTAGACAGAGCTGACGTGCTGCGTCAGTCACTGCCTCCGCTCCGTTTTTTTTTTAACTCTCTCTCTCTCTCTCTCCCTCTCTATCTCTCACACACACACCTTAATCAACATTGTTTTGTTTAACTGTGTGGGGAAAAATGCCAAGAAAGTTAAGAAAAAATCAGTTTAATCAAATTAAAATAAAATAAAATATAAAGTTGTGTCTGGTTCTAGTATTTCATATTTCCAAGTTCCTACTGCATGAGTTCAGATGTATTAATCCATGCACTTAAATATTAATGTTCAGATTTTATTGAAAAACTTGTTCTGTAATAGTTCCTTTACTATTGTGATAAAAAATATTTAATCTCAATTCTGAGGCTGCTCTGTAAATAGTTTTCAAATAAACAATACACATAGCAACTTCTGATCAATCCATATCAATTTCAGATTTAAAATAATGTATTGATGTAAACCACACCCACTTCCGGTTAAACCACGCCCGCTTCTGGGTTATGCCACGCCCATTCCGAGTACAGATACAGATCATTTAGATGGTTGAACAGATACAGATACAGATAGTGGTGTACTCGCTCATACCTACTAAAAAGGTTTGAAAAATTATTAATGTCAACTTTCAAAGAAGAGGAAACATTTTTAAATGTCTAACTGTTATGGACAATAATTTTTATAAGAAATTAATACTGTTGTTAAAAAAAAGTATTTTTTTTAAATGCGATACAAAAAAATAAATAATAAAAAACATGGTCTAGGAAAAAACATTTGTGCATTTTCTTATTAACACTTAACATCTCAGTTCCCAAATATCAGAATTTTCAGGTTTTTTTAATGTATTTTTGTAATGGTTGGGTCTTACAGGGCTAAAGCTTATTACTACTTAAAATTAGTCTATAACCTACCTTCAAGCTCCTGTAGGAAGTTATGGAAATAATTTAAGACTTTTATCTCTGTTGCATGTCTTTGTGTTCCTTTTTCACTCATCTTTGGGCACAGATGTGACACAATGTAAAACGAGTCAACCTAAAGAAAAGCAAAAAACGTTAAATTTCTTTGACAAAGATGATATATATTTGGAGACATTTACCAAACAATTCTCAGTTAACATATATCTACTATTGAACTGTTTATGTATACCAAGATTCCTATCCACTAAAGTATGATGAACAAGTTCTGAAAGTAAAAGCGAAATCTTCACAATTTCTAAGGAACTTAATGAAGATAGAACAGTGTGTTTAGTATGAGAGATTTTAGTGAGTAGATGTCATCTCCTGTATTCTAGTGCTTTTTACCAGGTTGTTTAATATATTTAAATTATTGTTTACAAGTTAAGGTTAAAAACTAAATCAATTATCAATGAAATATGATCAATATAAAAAACATGTTTAGCCTGGTTTGTTGATTTGTTTGAATGGTCTCATATCAGAAATGTGATGAAGTATGAAGCTCTGCTGCTGAAACACAACAGAACTATAACGAATCTTAAACTTCCAATAAAAAAAATTATGTTTATTTTATATTTCTGACAATAACACCAGCAGGAGGCTATGGGCTGAATTAGGATTTAATGAAAGCTACCTAGCTAATGGATCTCCTTGACTAACCCACTAACTAACCCTTCCACAATACCTCCTTATGTCCATTGTGTCTCTGAGGAGGAGCAGATAAATAAAGCAGACAAGGAAAACCATCTAACTTATGTTAATGTATTTAGCAGAAGCTTTTGTCCAAAGTCAAAGTGACTTACACGGGATA